AWWRRAAAAAAATCTGCAATTCTTCTTTGCAACTGTACTCGTTCAGACTTCTTTAATTGCTGTTTAMATTTTGTTTGCATGGCATAGATTTTACGTTTATTGATTCAACAATACCGTCGTCGACTGGCAGTACAATACTGCAGACAATCGTACACACTGCTTGACTAAGCCATTTGCCACGACCATTCCTGCGGCGCTTATATTAGATTCCAAGTTGAGTACRGAATATTTTCAACTTCATGCCTGCCAATGTTGATCAGATTTTCGTTGCAATTATATTYCTCCGTCTATTGTATTACGTTGTTCGGAGAGGYGGGCTCACCAGCACCACTATGTCACCCCGGACAAATAGCATACCYACCTTTCGCTGTTGCTTTTTGACGATCTCCTCGTCAGTTTCTTCATCGATTTCTGTGCTGGTAACCGTCTCTTCGACTTCCCCCAAGATCATGTTGAGATGCTGATCGTACGCCTTGAAAAATTATTGAAAGAGACGAATCAATGTTTCGCGTAAGGGAAGAAAGAATACGAAAACAGTGAGTCAGRAAAATTCGGGAGKCTCKCTTGTTGGCATTCTWGGYGCACACACTCGTTCCCGGTGATTACAATCAAACGATTTTCAACGGGTCCCCGACTTTTTTGGGCATTCATGGCGCCCGTGTTCCGAACRATTGCAACCGGAAGCTTCCGCGCTCCACGGTGATTGGCTGGTTTCTATGCCGTCTGCCGCCGGTATTCTCTTGGTAGGCGGYGATATAAAATGGCACAAAATGGATCGACAAGTCTACGGTTGCGTGTTCGCAACAATCACTCACATGAAGCCTCCCCCTGAGCTCTCTGTTTCCACGGCATTTCACGTAAACTCGTTCATCGATCGACAGCCGAATCARATCTAAAGGTTCCTCCATTTTTCTCGCGTTTTTGCTGGTCTTGATACACTTATTAGGAGGAAACAAAAATTCTCCGTTTTCCGTAGTRATGGATCGATTAGTTCTCAGTCGATGATATCGTTGGAAGTAGCTAGCAAGAGCAACAACCATATCGCTGTCATTTAGGGATGAACTCGTGAAGGGGCAGGACGAGYATGTAGTACGATACCGTACTACTTCTACCAGTAGTTTCAGAACGACGCGTAGGATGTTGATTACCSTATCGTACCATAGGATGACGATAACCATTTAAACTCGTGACTGAAAATTGCATGTTCACGGATGACGGCTAGACCTGATGTCTTTTGGGTTGGGACAAAGATGGTACGCGTACGTACCGGTACGTACGGTACGAGTTGACGTCGTATCTTCTTATCATACCGTAGCAGCATATATACGTGTAATTGTTTTCATCAAATCAAAAGCAGCAGTTTGTTTCTACATGCATCATTAAGGAATTGCATGTTGTGTCRAAAACAGAAAATTAGCACTCATATGACAATAAAGTACATAGGGCTATTGTTCAGAGCACTGCTTTGAAGTAAAAACGATTGACCGACTCTTTTTTGTCACGATTASCGTATCAGCAGTACTATGACGGCAAGTGCGTCCATCTGAGACTCCGACTAAAGTTCGAACTTTACTCGTTCTTTCCTCGTTGTTGTGCACCTTTCCCTCGTTTCGGATTGGTTCCCGTGCAATATTGGATCTCTTCGTAATCGTGATTCATCCGTCGTGCCGCGTTGGCTTGAACCGCCGATGCGGAAATAACCGCAACGGCGACAACGCGCGATAAAAATGCTCTTCGCCTCATGGCAYGACCGTCGGYATAAAAAATCTCTTTTCATCATTCCAAGTACCGTACAGTCCGCAGTAAACTGTCGCATTGCCGGAATCAACAAACAATTGTTCCAATCTTTGTTTCCATTTTCATAAATACACCCAATACCTTTCATTACGATCATGAAGCTATCGACCACTGCCATCATTCTTGCCGCATCAAATGTAAGCCTGAACACGACCATTTTGCTTTACAAAACGGTCAACCAAGTTCTTGTTCTGCCTCCGATCCGAATAACACTAGAACGACATCGACTAGTTTTCGGCATGCCAGAGCTCCGACTCACACTCTTCTCTTTTCTATTGCTCCTGCTCTGTCAATCGCTTTCTCTCGAATTCGTCGATTCAAGTTTTTCTATGCGAGCGCACAAAACACAACAGTAGCGTCTTGTGCAGCTAAAATCGGCGTGTCTCAATCCTGCATTAGGACCTGCGGTTCAGCTAATGCAACTGATTCGGGATACTCCAACTTGCTTCTCCAATGCCTAGACGACGCATCCGGATTCAATATTGCGTCGCAACTAGAAACCTGCTGCAGTATGTCGGGCACTTGCACCAGCTCCATGTCGGATGCCGACGACTGTTTGAAAGCCCAGCTCGCTGACGTCAGGTCAGCAGCCAATAATTACCTGGGCTGCATTTACWCAAGGAGRCTGAACTTTACCTGCCCGTGGGCCACCTWTTGCGTTAACCTCCTGACGGGTGCGGCCGGAACGGGCGCCTCGAACGACTTTAGCGTTGCCAGCGGGTCGAAGCTGGCAACGATGACCGCTAMTGCCACAACCTGTGACGACATGTCGCTGTTCGGCAAAGATGCGTGCAGCACCGTTGCCGGCTGCTGCGAGCCGTGCGCTGATGRCATAGCGGCAGTCGTCAACGCCGTTACCAACGACATTCTTCTCCCCGCCTACGGCGGCGACAACGCTCCCAGTTCGTGCAGCGGGACGTGCGCGGATTTCACCAGCCGGGTTCGGCAATTGGAGTCGACCGGGGAAGAACCGGTTGCGGCGGCCCAGGTGGTGGATCCCGACCAGCTCACCAGGGTTTACGATATGGCCCAGGAGTGCACCGACTCCTTGGCAACGGACATTGCAGCGTACAACCATACGGTCGCCGTCGAGAACTTCCTTCCCTGCCTGTACAAGAAAATGGGCAAGATCATGGCCGAAACAGAGACGCTGSAGCAGAGCTCCGCCTCGGAATTCTCCCCCTCCGTCGCCGCTACCGCGGTGGCATCGGCGGTCTTGGCTGCGTTCGCCTGAGCACGAGTCCGGCTGCTGCGCTCAGAACACCATWAATCTTGAAACTTTTTTTTTAAACTTTTACTGGGTCTGCTTTGAGTCTTTGCACGTTTTCGCCCGCGTATGCATCTTTGTTTTTCTATTACAACGGGCGGCCTTTGAAAACAAGCCTAGAGAGTGGTGCTTGAATTGTCTGCAATAGTTACTGCCGCGCATGCCATCACCTGCCCGGAACTTCTTCATCGTATCGCCCAAGGCTTACTAATTTATGGCTTTGTCTTTGTCCTAAAAATTCACAAGAAAACATTGTATCATAGCCTCCTAGAYTCCCATATGTATTCAGCAAGAAAGGAAAATTTTCGGCCATGTACCAAAGGCTCTCGACRCWTGTCTTCCCGGAGCCCGGCACYAGCCTACTGTCCGTACAGCACAGCTTCCGCCATTGACGAGTCAGTTCTTGTGTCTTGGTTCAAACAARAGAATCCCCTCGGTTTGCTTCTTGTTATCGCTCTTTTCGAGCGATTKYGGTTGCCATCATCCATAGGTAGCGTTCCTCTCGCTCTGGGCACGGCGGTTGCCTGGTGGCCTCTGGACGGATGGATGGATTCGTCCCAAGCAGATAGCATCTGAAATTGTGGCGGCGGGKTTTTCACGATATCGCCCGCCCCGCGCATTGTTTGATCGGTGCGTGCCGATTCAAGCAGAGGAGAGGGGTTTGGGGTAGGACCGTCTGTCCACCCATCCTCTGCCGAAAAGCGTTTGTCCGTCTCGCGCACGGAAAACAAAAACGAGGAGCCATCAACGGAACAGGCACGAAGAAGTGCAGAAGGAAAATAAAGGCTTCTCATCGTTCCGACGAGTTGATGCCGCAATTCTAGATTTCCGATTTCCATCTGACCCGAACAAAAAGAATCACAGAATCACCGAATCAACGGACCGAAGCAGCTTCGATCCACAGAGGTTTTTTGGCGGGCATTCGACAAGGGACACCGATTGCGAAATCGCACGACACCATTGAAACTATTTTCAAGTGCATTCCGACATAGATTGAACGAACGACCCATCGCTTCCGAACTCGGATCGTCCTGCCCTGGCAAGCGTTGGCCCCGGTCGATTTCGATTGTTCGACAAGCGAAGAAGGAAACARGCGATGCACGTATCGATGAACCGGATCCTCCTGTTGTGGGCGGCGGTTCTGTTGCCTCCCGAACGGCAACGGATTGCSATGGGTTACGTTTTGCCCTCCTCCCTCCGAACCAAGAACTGCCACCCCTCACCTTCTACCAATGCGCTGTATTCTTCTCCAAACACGTATTCCGGTTTGACGTCGACCGGCWGGGGCGACGATGACGACGATGACGAAAGCAACAAAATGAAAAACAAAAACAAGCATCGAATCGAGTTCTCGAATTTCTGGGGTTCCAAATACGCCATCGGAGACGACGAGGAGGACGAAAAGCAGGGAACCGTTCCGTTCGTGCCCTCGCTGGATCCCCACGACGGTCCCTTGCCCCCCGGGGCGTACGTCTCGGAAGGAAAGCCCGAGTTCGACGCCAAGCCGACCTGCCGCATCGCGGTGGGCGTTCGGCTGGGAACCACCGGCGCGAGCGCTAGCCAGAACRAWRRCGATCCCGACGAGGCGGTGAGGAGGCTGCAGGCCTGCGTCGATGCCGGCCTGAACACCTTTCAGCCGCTSGACCAGACCCGGGAAGCGCTCGACCTGGTGCGGCGGATGAAGGARAACACTCCGTCCTATGTCCAGACGCACTGGTCGTTCGCCATCAAGGCGGCCCAAACGACCAGTGCCTCCCTCGGAGACGAGTCGTCGGACAAGAACATCAACAACSACTTTGACACACGCAATTCCAGATCGGACCTACGCCACTCGGTTTTGGACCTGATCGAACGGACCGGGAGCGACGCGCTGGACAGCCTGGTGGTAGACGTGGGAACCGAAAGCGGACGGGTCCCTTCGTCGCCGACCTCGTCGCTCTCCTCGCACGGCGCCACGCTGGAAGTCTTCGAGCACCTCGCGGACCTGCAGCGGGAGGGATGGATCCGATCCATCGGCATCGGGGGCACGGAKGCGCCACCGGGCCTCCTGAGAGACATTGCGACRTACTTTGGGGACCACATCGATTTCGAGCAGCGCGAGGGAAGCCTCTTGGTCCCCCCGTCCTTCTCGTTCCGCGGCGGCCTCTCGGTGCCCGGCGACWACAGCCACAAGAACAAGGTGCGAATGGGCAACGCCCTCGCCGGTGGCTTGCTCACGGRCCTCTACGACAGCGACGCCCGGCGCCAAACCAACTACGGKCMCAGGCCYCCGCTGCTGACGAACGAAAACATGAGGGTCCTGAACGAGTGGGCCTCGCGGCGAGAAAMATGGCGAGAGGAATCGCCGGAAACGACGGGGCCACCGASCACCCAGAACATGCCCGTGTGGAACCAGTACCAGGAGCACGCACTGGGACCCATGGSAAGGATCGCATCGAAGCACGATGTTTCGATAGCGGCGGTGGCCCTGCGGTGGGCGCTGGAATGTGCGGGGACGAACGGCCTTTCGGGGGGCAAGGGGATCGTTTCGAGCGCACTGGCGGACCTTTTCGTGGGCGGCCCGGCCGACGGTGGCCCTCCCTTTCGGAGGAAAACCACCGAGCTGCGGGGGGTCTTTCGGTTCGARCTRGAAGAGGAGGACCGGGAGGTCCTGTCGGGGATTCTYGCGACCGGAGGGGAYGAGCAAGCCGGMAGCAGCGGCGACGGCGACGGGTTCGGATTCGGAGACGACGGGGGAGACGGCTACCCCGCCATTGATTTCGACAATCCAAAGTTCTGGCTGTGAACCCACCCACGCGGGCCATGGTCCTGCCGTTCCCGCACGCATCGGGGCTCCCCGGGAGGTATGCGGGCGGTCCGACCAAGAGACGAGACGAGGCGAAGCGAAGCGAACGACCATCGGCCATAAGGGTTCCAACCCCCCGCGGGCGGTGCGATGCCGTGCCGTGCCGTAATCTGTTCGGCACCTGTTGGCTCGTACCATGCGCAGGGGGCCGGCTGGCAATCCGAGGTGCGTATACGATGATACGCAACCCAGGCGCCGCCATTCTCACAGCGTACTACCCGGGAACGTCGGTTGTTTGCTACCGGGTGCCGTTGTCTGCTCCAGCATCCGTTGCCTCGCGGGCGTTGCGAAGCGAAATGCGCGGGATGCATTCTGGCAGTCGCGGCTTGTCCGTTCGTGGTTTCGAACGCACAGACAGAGCGATGTTTGCCACCAAGCGTATCAAAGGAAAGATTTGAGAATCCTATTGTCACCGCATCGTGTACATGATATTATTCACTAAAGTAGGAATAACGATGCTTGGTCGCGCCTCCATAACAACTCCTCGGAGGGATGCGCCGCCCCTCGGAGCAGCTAGRAGCATTMTTTCYCACRAAAGCAATGGTTCTGGCCTTCCTAGTGCCTCTTCTAGTTCACGAGGTTAAATATAATATTAAGATTTTTTTTAGGAATAACGATGCTATGCTTTCTCATAGTATTTCATTGCTGTATCATGTGTAATCTATGTATTAAGTAGAAGCCACGACGCTATGCTTTGATCCGTTTGTGTCTGCCAAGCTACAGCACGCCAGCGGAAACTGTTGACTCTCTTATATTCACGCATTCTTTAGAATCCAAACGAACGAACGAAATTTTGTTCCGTGTTGCCGCTTTCKATGGATTCGGCCCTCCGTCCGYCAAATAGACCCACGAACAGGASGTTGATTCGGGAATCCTCGATTCCCGGTATTTGCGACGAAACCAAGCATTGGTCGTGGTCTCGACACCTYCGCTGCCCGGGTCCTGTGGAGCTCGGCGTTTGCAGTGGCGGTCAAGGGCACAGAGGTGGCACCAATGGCYCTCSCGCAGCGCTGCTTCTCGCTGCCCRCGCTCAGATCGACAACAAAAGATMGTCGTCGTCGTCCGTCGAGGAGTCGAGGTCCAGACCGGAAGAGTCCGAGAGGCTCCGGCCGTCTCCCAGTGCCTCACTTACTCCGAGGTCGATGCCATCGTCGTCGCTGAAAATGGCCAGGTCGTCGATCGTCTCGTACAGGCGGACCAGGCCCTCCTCGGTCTCCTTGCGGTCTCGGTCCGCCATCGCCCTCAGCTGGTCCTCGAGTCTTCGTTCGTCCTCCCCGGCCTCGTCCTTCTGGCGCTCCCACTCGAGTTCCATCTCCCGCTCCCACTGCTCGCGCGGGGTGGGGCAGCCGTCGAGGTCGAGGATGCTGTCCAGCGACAGGGTCGAGGCGARGTCGTCCTCGTGTTTCAGCTCGTGCTCGAGCTGYTGTTTCCACGTCCTCCCCGCKGGAAGCTCGATGTCGGGGACGGATTCCGCCCTCGCCAGGGCACGGGTTCTCATGCGCGTGGTGGCCGCCGGAGGGGGGTTTYGGRTTTGTCGGACGGTCTGTTGCTTCGCRGGCCGCACCTGTGGGGCAGGCTTTGCACCGGACGGCCTCGGGGCTTCCGGAAGGACCAAAAACCTCGACGTTTGCGAGGACTGTGCGCGGGCAGGCCTCGGCAAGAGATTGACGGACCGGGGCTTGAGGACATCACCGGCGTGTGTCTTTTGCAGCGAGGATGCTGCCTGCCCCTTCGCGGAAAGGTCCCGCCCAAAGCCGCCTCGGCCGCTGCCGCTGCTGCCTTTTTTGTTGGAAATGTCCCCAAAGGCCCTGCGGCGGGTGGTGGAATTTTTTTTGCCGGCCGGGGTCCTCGACAGGCCGTTGGATGCACCGGAAGACCTGGCTCCCAGGACGCTTTTCTTTGCGGAACCGTGRCTCCCCCCGGATGGCTTGTGCTGGCTCGCACGGCGGACCAKGAGGTTCTCGTYTTGGCCGAGGCCGATGCTGCTGCTGCCTTGCATGGTTCTCCCGTGGGAGTTTGCKCTCCCGGTGAAACTCACGGGTCGGTGGTGGTACATGGTTCGGTGCGAATCCTCGAGTGGGTTGTTGATTTTTTGTTTTTCTCCAATGGGTTCCAGTTCCAGTTCCAGTTGCAGAGGTGTATATATTTCGTGAATGGGTTGGGAAGTTCTTTTGGTGGATTGCTTGCAAATAATGGTAGTAATGGCAGAACCGTGTTGTTGATGAGTTTCGCTGTTTTAGTTGTAACCGCCCAGGAAACCTGGCACGATGAGGGTTTCGMAAGTTTGGTTTTTCAAGAGAGAACCTGTCGCCAAAATAACGTCAAAAGTGAGGCAGGCGGACGCTCGACGAAAAGAAAATAGAAGAAATATAGAATTTCCCAAAACCCCTTGGGTTCCGAGGATAGCCTCCATCATCACAATCATCACACATCACAGGCTCTACCGACATTGCATACTACCGTACGTACGAGTAGAGGTATCGTACCGTACGTACGAGAACTCGCACAACCCGAAACCGAAGAAAACCGCACGTCTGTCGTCGATTGAAGTTACTTCTACGAAGCAAAACGGGAAGAACTTCCTTCCGCAAGGGAACAACCAACCAAACCAACACCTTTTGTGTCAAAGCACCTGGCAATTTTAATTCTTTGCCCCTACCGCACATTGAACACCCGCAGCAGGTTTGCACCCCACAAATCTTCACACCCGCTACGAACAGGAGGCCGCTACAACGATGAAACGAATAGCGACGGAAAGAAAACCGAGCCATTCGGGTGTTGGGGTGACGGTTGSTGTCACCACCCTCCTCGCGGTGCTCTGCTTGGCGTGCACGCCGCTGCCGGCGGATTCCTTCGTCCCGCCCGCTTCCACGAGAAAGGCCGCACCGGTGCCGGCCTTTGGAGCCGGAGGGTTCGAGCGAACCTTGTCGCAGCTCTCCGCGGCGAGCGAGCCCATGTCCGAGGACGAGATCAAGCGGCAGCTGACCGAATACCTCGCCAAGCGCAAGGAGGCCAACGCGGACGCGGCYGCCGAGGAGGTCAAGGGCACCGTCGTGGGGGGAACCCGCGGGAACGCGGTCCTGGAGTTCATCAGCGGGGCCCCCGCCAGGGAGCTGGTCATCGAGCGGGCCCCGGACGTCTTTGACTACGACGAGCTGTCCAAGTACGGGTACTCGGGCCTCGTCAAGCCCATCATGGACCAGGTGGGGGGCCGGMGGGCGGTCTACGACCTGATGGGGATGGAGCCGCCGCCRCTGGTGGGGCCGCCGCCCAAGAAAAAGGTCCCCAAGCTGGTGATCGACCGCACCGGCGAGGACGACAAGGCGAGGTATACGGGCCTCAAGATGGGGCAGGTCCTGGACGACGACGTCATGGGAGAAGCGCTCGCGGAGGCCAACAAAAAATCCAAGGAGGGAAAGGACCTGCGTCCGAAGCTAGTGGAAGAATCCTACGTCCAGCCGTTTGCAGGTGGGTCACGATGTGGTTTGATTCGATTCGATTCGATTCGATTCGTATTGCGTTGGTTTAGTGTATTGGAATTTTATAAGTTACGGAAAATCTCACACTCACCCGCGCACGTCTGTGCTTTCTCTCTCACGCTCTCTACAACTACAACTGCAACTGCGAACCACACCTGCATCGTCATCGTCATCTTTGTCGCGTCGCGTCGCTGCATTCGAAATTGCATTCGAAACAGACAAGCGCAACACGAGCCCGATGCAGACCCCCGACTGGACCCCGGAGAAGCTCGACGAGTACGCCATCCAGCAGGGCAGGGCCCAGTCGTGGGCCCGGCGGTCGCGGATGGGGGAGTTCGTCAAGGACCCCTTCGAGACCTCCGAGCTGCCGCTGGGCATCCAGGCCTACGCCGTCGCGACCGCCTTTTTCGTGGCCTTTGCCTACGGCCGGGCCACCCCGAGGTTCCTGGCGGAGGTCCTCGGGKTGGGCWCGCTGGACGGCGCCCGYGGCCTCCAGGACGTCCTGCAGGTTCCGGGGCTGGCCCTGGCGCTGGCCAGCGTGGGATCCAGCGCGGTGTGCGCCGCGGTGCTGGCCCCCGGGAAGAACCGGAACGGGATACTGTGGGGCGTCAAGGGCTTTCTGGGCGGCCCGATCGCCGTCGTCCAGCTCAGGGGACTCGACGCCCTCATCACCCGCGAGCAGAAGGAAAAGGAGGAAAGCGCGAGCAGCAGCAGCAGCGGTAGCAGCAGCTGAGGCGCTTGGCATGGGAATTCGAGAGCGAGCCCCGGCACGGACAGAACCGGAACGCAGCWAAACAAATCCGAACCTCCGCTTTCGCTCTTGGCAGCGACAGCGTGTAGCACATTCCGCAGACCCGGTTGTCCATGGACGTCCTCCCAACCCCGTTTCTAGATAGCCTACGCGCGACGCGACGCAACGCATCGCAGCGCGAATGAATGAATGAATCCACAAAACCCATGTATTTTTTTCCAGCCATTCCATCCGTCGATCAGTCGTAGTCGTCCTCGTCCTCCACGATGTCATTRGCGACGGCGGGGATTACTGCCGACGCCGAGGCGTCCGCAATGGCCCTCTCCAGGGGTCCCAACCCATCCGTAGCCGTCCCCGGCTCCCCGAGGAGCCTGCGCGCCCCCGCGGCGGCCCCCCTGGCCCCCCCGCGGTTTCGGTTTCCCGGCCTGTCTTTCTCCCCCTGGGTGGCCCGGGTCCGCTTCGGTCGCTTGGCCGCCTTTCGCGTCCGCGGAGCGTACTCGGTCGGCCTCGCGAAGGCCGARGCGTCGCGGTCCGGAGCGTCCCGGTAGGTTTCCAGCAAAAAGCCCGGCGGCGGCGGAAGCGACGGCAGGAGGCCGTCCGGGGAGGGGGACAGAACGGCCCGCTTCAGGAGGCTCGTGGTGACCAGGAAAGGTTGTCTTTGTCTTTGGTTCCCCTCCTCCTGGTCCGCTCCCTCGGTCGGCGGAAGGGAGCCCCTGGGTCCGGCCTTGCGGTCGTGTCGCTCCTCCAGGACCGCCCGMTCCACGATGGATTTCAGCAGGAGGGCCGCCGTCGTGGAGACCAGCTCCAGGGAGGCCGSGCTCAGCCTCGGCATGTCCGGTTCTTGCTTGTACAAGAAGTTCTTGATCTTGGAGGCCTCGAAGAGGTTTGCCGCCGCCAGCGGGTCYTCCCCGGCGGGGAAAGGGGCGCCCGGCGTTCGATCGGCGCCGAGCGGGGCAACGGTGGTGCTGGTTTCTGTTTCTGTTTCTGTTTCGCCGCTGGCCCGGTCGGTTTTGGTTTCGGACGGTCCCGCGTCCCCGTCTCTTGTCCCCGAGCTCATAGTATGGSGTCGGTTTCGCTCGGGTGGTGTCGGGGGAGTCGTCGTAGACGGAATGCTAGTTGCAGTCGCCGTCGGTGTGTGCCCGTCTGCTGGTTGGTATGTTCCGTCGGCCACAGCAGCATCCAAACAAGCATTGTCTCGCAAAAGAGACCAACGATTCCTGCTTCTACTAGAAAATAGAAATCGGGACGATCCGGATTCAATCAAGGGGGCGGAAGAACCAAGAAGAGCTCCAAATCAGTCCCTCTACTAGAAAATAGAAATCGGGACGATCCGGATTCAATCAAGGGGGCGGAAGAACCAAGAAGAGCTCCAAATCAGTCCCTCTAAAATCAAACATAATTGTGGTGAAACCTCAAACCTCTACCGGTACGTACCGGTACGTACTCTTGAACGGTTCGTTCGTTGCCCTTGTAATTGTACGCTAACACACGTACGAGGGTACGTACGTACTTTGCCATACTTCTTGGTGTTTCGGTGCGGTGTTCGGGGTTCGGGAAGTTGTAACTGATGTCCTGTTTTTTACGCAAAAAAGTCATTATCAATATCCGTTCGTGAACAGCTTTCCGTACAGTCTACGCATACCCGTCTCGTACGATACGATTATCGTGCACGAGGCGAGGACTACCAGGCCGAATCTCGACTAGGCCGGTGGTACACTCAGGGGTCATAATTTAGACCCCTGGGTACACTAAGGTACGGAACGAATTGTTGTACCGTTTACCGTACTCGTACGTACGAGTACGAGCGATACTGAAATTTGCGCTTCGAATCGTTCCGAACTGTTTTCCTTTTGGAAACTAGAACAGTACTTTACCGCACGAATCGTGCTCAACCGTAGCTCTATCGAATCGAACCAGAAGCACGGTACGATACGATACAGCGAGACATGTTATTAAAACAGATACGTTCCGAACCGAAAAGAAAGCCAACAASAGAGTTTTGATAGACTCGCATCGCATCCAGAACAGCCCGCAAAATTCCAGGCACCTGTTGAGAAGCAATCGGTCGTACCGTTCGGCAGCAGGGAATCTCGTGACCGAACAGAACCCGTGCCGGAACCCAACCAAGCCCGGCAGCAAACGCCACCGAGCCACAGCTGCAGCCGATACAACACTTTACGACACAACACTTTGCAACACTTTACGACACAACACCACACTACAGTACACTCCCAACGAACGCTGGTTCGCAGCCCCCAATGGACGATTCCGACCGAAGCGGCCACCGGCGGCCTTCCGACCAGTGCCGGCCGTCCCCCTCCTATTTCCGGAACGTCGTCTCGCTGGATCCCGAGCCGGTGTCCCCGCTCCCGGAGTGCTCTCCGTGCGGCGGCGGGAACGGGCACCACCGAACCACCCCGAGGAGCCACGCGACGCCAAGAAGCGAGAGCGGCAAGGGGCGGCGGCTGGTGGACACGCTGGCACCGCGCCTCCCCGACACGAGCGGCAGCAGCGGCAACAACAACAACAGCAACAGCAACAGCAACAACAACAACCACAACAACCCTTCGAACAGGAACCGCGAGAACTTCCGGCCGGACCACGGGGCCACCGTGCCCTCCGCGAGCCCCCCGACCTTGTACGGCCTCGAACGCGCGGTGCAGGGGCAGGGGGCCTCCAACCCTTCCAACCCCCACGTGCGCTCCCGCAGGATCGGAGGCGCCCCYTGCCACAACCCCCGCAGGCACCAAAGGCGGCACCGCGGGCGGGGCCGCGGAAGCGGTCAAGGCGAAAACCGGTGCCACCGGTGCTGCGGCGTGGGCTGCGGGGGGGTCTGCTGGTGCTGCCGGGACCGGAAGATCGTCCGCAGCACCCTCAGCTGCATGAACGTCGTGGCCCGGATCCTGTCCTGGTGCACGGTGGTGGCGAGCGTGGCGGGCGTGGTGTGGTACTCGTACGAGCTCAAAAAGACGGGGTGAGTGCCAGAACCGTGTCTGTGTCTGTGTCTGTATGCCTTTGTGTGTGTGCATTTGTGTGCATGCATTTGTGTGCATGCATTTGTGTGTGTGTGCGTCTCTGATGGTTTCGCCGAGACTTTGATGGCGCTCTGCTTCGTCGTGCACGCCGCATGGATTCCTTTGTCTTCCGCCCCGGTCCACTCACGTTGTTCTCCACCCCCACCTTTCTTCGAAATCGATATCGAAACGGAACACGGAACACCATGACTTGTTTTGGCACCGTAGCAAAGATCCCCATTTGATTCTGTGGAATTCGGCGGCTGCCTTTGTGCTGATCGGATTTCCGCTTTCGATATACGGCATCGTCGCCCATCTGTCGAACTACAACCAGCCCGAAACGCAGGTCTAYATTGTTCGGATCTTGTTTATGGTGCCCATCTTCAGCGTCCAATCGTGGCTGGGCCTGCGGTTCAAGGAATATTCCATCTACTTTGAAACGATACGAGACTTTTACGAAGCCTACGTGCTCTACTCCTTCTTGCAATTTTTGATTGAGGTTTTGGGTGGAGAGGAAGCACTCATACTGATGCTCAAAGACAAGTCACCGACCAGGGGTGTCCACATATGGGGTTTTCATTTGTGTCTCAAGCCCTGGTTGATGGGCCAACCCGTTCGAAAAACGTACATGAACAAAGACGGCGAAACAATCCTTACGGCTTCCGGGGGAACGGGTTCGGCGATCACCGCGTCCGAAACGTCCATCCCCGGTGTAGGTGGATTGATGCAGCCAATGGGAGGACAAAACCAGCAGCAACCGGTCCGCAACAAACCCCTGAAACG